TCACTCATATTTCATGTCAAATCCTAAATTGGACTCGAAGTATATTTACAATTACTACGCATTCATGTTAAAATTTACTTCAATAGACTATAAATTTGAACAAAAAAAAAAATATGTACACTAATTTGAAATAAAATTTTATTTTAGCTGTTGTTCCAGGGAAAACTGATATTTATTAACCAACACATATAAACAGTCTAAAGTACAATTGTAATGACTAAATACTTACATGTTAAACATCCTAATGTGCCATCTACCATGAAACCATCTACATTGTGTGGGAGTGGAACATATCTGGGCTGTATGTGTTACAAAAGAAAAAATTTAAATAAGCATCAGCTTTAGATAGAGAATATTTAATGGCTGTTGAAAAAAATAAAAAATTAATGTGATTCACGTTTTATGTTAAATCTTAAATTACGGACAATTAATTTACAATTACTCTTTCATTCTTATTAAAATATACCACATTTGAAATTCGAATAAAAGATATTTTAGACCAATTTGTAATAAAATTTTAAGCTATTGTTTCAGTGAAAACAGATTTTTATTGACTTCCAAATATTAACATAGTTTTAAGTACAATTGTAATTACCAAATACTTACATGTTGACTCTTCCTATGTGCCATGAATCCATCTTCTTCTGTCTAGGAGTGCAACATATTTAGGCTGTATCTTTAACAAAAACTATCACTTAATATCAGCTTGAGAGTCTATTTGCTGTTGCAATTTTTTCATAATTTAATCTTTTGCATGTTGGACAAGAATATTTATAATTACTATACATTCCATTAAGAATATATTTCAATAGAATGTAAATTTGAAAAAAATATTTTTAGACCAATTTGTAATAAAGTTTCAAATTGGTTGATAATGAAATGGAGCCAGACAAAAAACTAAATACATTTCACCATAAACACAAGTTTTCATCATACTATGTAATCAGTTCTGTTGGGGGATCTGTTTTCACGAGATTAGCGCCCATTAAATTCATCAATGTTATATCAAAATCTAAAGTTTGCTCTCTGCAGAGGTCTGCTTTTACGAGACCCATTTTAACATAAAGCATCTTTTTGTCAAACTGTTCAGGAAAAAAATGGATTTTTATTACCTAACAAACATAAACATAGTTTTAAGAAAAATTGTAATGACCAAATACCTACATGTGCAACATCCTAATGTGCTATCTACAATGACAGCATCTTTCATGGTATAGGAGTGTTACATATTTAGGCTGTATAATCTGTAACAAAAACAAAAATTATAAATTAAGTTTCCGCTTTAAATCCAGACTTTTTGCTGTTGCAATCAATTCAGAAAATAATGTGATGCATGTTTTATGTTAAATCCCAAAAAGTATAAAAACAATTACTATACATTCTTATCAAAATATTCAGCATTAGAGTATAAATTTGAATGAAAGAAATTTTAGCCCAATTTGTTATAAAGCTTCAATCTGTTGTTTCAGAAAAAAAACAATTTTTATTACCTAACAAATATAAATATTGTTTTAAGAAAAAATTGTAATGACCAAATACCTACATGTGACTATTCCTAATGTGCATCTACAATGGAAGCATCTTTCATGGCATAGGAGTCTTACATATTTAGGCTATCTGCAACGAAAAAAAAAAAAAATATACATTAATTTCAGCTTTTAATCCAGACTATTTGCTGTTGCAATCAATTCAGAACTTAATGTGATGCATGTTTTATGTCAAATCCTTCATTGGAGACAAGAATTTTTACAATCACCATACAAAACCAAGAGTTCCAAATGGTAAAGTTGAAATCATCACTTCGTGTTCCTTATGTCGTAACTACAATCCCATTCCCTTTTCACGAATGTGACCTACCGAATTAAGACTATTTACCAGCTTTGTTATAACATGAGCAACACGGCGGGTGCCACATGTGGAGCAGAATCTGCTTACCCTTCCGGAGCACCTGAGATCACACCCCGTTTTTGGTACGGTTCGTGTTGCTGTTGTGCCCCTATTTGTGACATGTTTACCTATTGTGTCGGTTTGTTTTGTTCACACATCACTGTCAATATAATGGAATTTGACGAGACTGTCATACAAGCGAGAAGTTTAGCTAACTTTAAAACCAGGTTTAATCCACCATTTTCTACATAAGAAAATGCCTGTACAAAGTCAGGAATATAACAGTTGTTATCCATTCATTTGATGTGTTTGAGCTTTTGCTTTTGCCATTTGATTAGGGCTTTCCGTTTTGAATTCTTATTAAAATATATCTCATTACAGTGAATATTTCAATAAATGAAATGTAGGACCAATTTGTAATAAAATTTCAAGCTGTTGTTCCAGGAAAAACTGATTTTTATTACCTAACAAATATAAACATAGTTTTTAAGAACAATTGTTATGAATAAATACTTACATGTGACTAATCCTAATATGCTATCTGCAATGGAAGCATCTTTCATGGTATAGGAGTCTTACATATTTAGGCTATCTGTAACAAAAACATATATTTGAAATTAGTTACAGCTTCAAAATTAAAGCTATTTGCTGTTGCAATCAATTCAAAAATTAATGTGATGCGTGTTTTATGTCAAATCCTAAATTGGAGACGTATATCTACAATACCTATACATTCTTATTAAAATATACTTCATTAGGATATAAATAAAAATAAAAGAAATTTTAAACCAATTTGTTATAAAGCTTCAATCTGTTGTTTCAGTGAAAACTGATTTTTAATGCCTAACAAATATAAACCTAGTTTAAAGAAAAAAATTGTAATGAATAAATACATACATGTAACTAATCCTAATGTGCTATATACAATGAAACCATCTCATTGTCGAAGAGTAATATATTTAGGCTGTATCTGTATGAAAAACAAAAATTGTAAATTAGTATCAGCTTTAAATAGGGAATATTTGCTATTGCAATCAATTCAGAAATTAATGTGATGCATGTTTTGTCAAATCCTAAATTTGAGACTTAGTATATTTACAATTACTTAACTTATTACAGTAAATATTTGAATAAAAGAAATATTAGACAAATTTGTAATAAAATTTTAAATGGTTGTTCAAGGGGAAAACTGATTTTTGTTACCTTCCACATATAAAAAGATATAAAAGTACAATTATAATGACCAAATACTTACATGATATGTATCTTCGTGTGCTATATACCATGAAAGCATCTTCATTGTCAAGGAGTGTAACATATCTAGTCTGTATCTAACAAAAACAAAAATTCGAAATCAGTATCAGCTTTAAATAGAGAATATTGATTGTTGCAATTAATTCAAAATTAATATGATTCGTTTTTTATGACAAATCCTAATTTGAAGACAAGTATATAAACAATTTCTATACATTATCATTAAACTTATCTTCACAAGAGTATAAATTTGAATAAAAGAAATTTAAAACCAATTTGTAATCAAATCTAATTTAAGCTGTTGTTCCAGGGAAAACTGATTTTTGTTACCTGCAAACCATATAAACATAGTTTAAGGAACAATTAAAAATACCAAATACTTACATGCTATGTCTCCAGATGAGTGATCAATCTACCATGAAACCATCTTCATTGTCTAGGAGTGTAACATATTTAGGCTGTATCTAAAAATATCAAAATCGAGTCTAAAATGTCATTTCCAGTCTTAGATTATAGTGAGTACCGATTCAAAAAAATATATGGTTTCTATACACTTTTGTCCGAAATAAGGGAGATAATTTGATACTTCCGGTTTAGAAAAATATTACTTCTTGTATAGTATGATAGGTTACTTGACACGGATTCCAAAAATATATGGTTCTATATACTTTTACATTAAATAAGCACAAAAAATAGCTACTTCCGGTTCACACAAGGTCACTTCTGGTTGGCTTTTTCAAGGTCATATGGCTTGCAACCTAATGCAAGAAGTTCTTTGGCTCTATCATTTATAAAAATAAAGTTAATGCTAAGGTCAAAATCTAGAACGTCAAATTTACCTATGCCCTTGACCTATATTTCAAGTTCATAAAGGACCTCAAATAAAAAACCCTAGGTCTCTACTAAATATGGTTAATGAGTAATATCATCATACAACTAGCTTTAAATATGAGAGGGGAAGAAACTCCCATTTCATGTCAACGTACGCGTTCAACCAAAAATCATGTGTTACGACAGTTTGCATATAACAATTTAGTAAAAATATTTTGTCAATATCTTATACGGCCTCTGATAAGAAATAAGTCAAAATAAAAATTAAGAAGAGGACCTTGACCTAAATTTTCTTTAAGTTGACCAATGACCTCAAACTAAAACACCCTAGGTCTCTATCACTTATGGTTTACAAGTTACAAATACATATCACTTATTTCAAATACATAAGGGGGAATAACTCTCATATGGAGTCTTCGCAACGCTTCAGTCAAAATGAAACGTAACATCCAGGATATAACGAGTAATTTGAAAAAATAAATTAGTCGGTTTCTTCTAAGGTTGCGAAGAATAAGAAATATCAAGAAATACAGTGTTCGGGGAGATAACTCTTACATAGAAAAGTATTCGGTTAAGCGGTGTCAGTTTCAAGAGCGTATAAACTGTTTGATATCATATACCAAATATCTAAGCGACATCTTGCAAAACAACCAAACAGTGAAGGAAAAAAATTAGGCGGAAGAAAAAACAAATTATAATAATCACAACAAAAGCATTAAGTCTTTTCACGGAAAAGTGGAAAGACTTTACCAGCTTCAAATAGAGACTATTGGCTGTTGCAATCAATTATAAATAAATGTCACTCATATTTCATGTCAAATCCTAAATTGGACTCGAAGTATATTTACAATTACTACGCATTCATGTTAAAATTTACTTCAATAGACTATAAATTTGAACAAAAAAAAAAATATGTACACTAATTTGAAATAAAATTTTATTTTAGCTGTTGTTCCAGGGAAAACTGATATTTATTAACCAACACATATAAACAGTCTAAAGTACAATTGTAATGACTAAATACTTACATGTTAAACATCCTAATGTGCCATCTACCATGAAACCATCTACATTGTGTGGGAGTGGAACATATCTGGGCTGTATGTGTTACAAAAGAAAAAATTTAAATAAGCATCAGCTTTAGATAGAGAATATTTAATGGCTGTTGAAAAAATTAAAAAATTAATGTGATTCACGTTTTATGTTAAATCTTAAATTACGGACAATTAATTTACAATTACTCTTTCATTCTGAAATAAAATTTTAAGCTATTGTTTCAGTGAAAACAGATTTTTATTGACTTCCAAATATTAACATAGTTTTAAGAACAATTGTAATTACCAAATACTTACATGTTGACTCTTCCTATGTGCCATGAATCCATCTTCTTCTGTCTAGGAGTGCAACATATTTAGGCTGTATCTTTAACAAAAACTATCACTTAATATCAGCTTGAGAGTCTATTTGCTGTTGCAATTTTTTCAGAATTTAATCTTTTGCATGTTGGACAAGAATATTTATAATTACTATACTTTCCATTAAGAATATATTTCAATAGAATGTAAATTTGAAGCAAATATTTTTAGACCAATTTGTAATAAAGTTTCAAATTGGTTGATAATGAAATGGAGCCAGACAAAAAACTAAATACATTTTACCATAAACACAAGTTTTCATCATACTATGTAATCAGCTCTGTTGGGGGATCTGTTTTCACCAGATAAGCGCCCATTAAATTCATCAATGTTATATCAAAATCTAAAGTTTGCTCTCTGCAGAGGTCTGCTTTTACGAGACCCATTTTAACATAAAGCATCTTTTTGTCAAACTGTTCAGGAAAAAAATGGATTTTTATTACCTAACAAACATAAACATAGTTTTAAGAAAAATTGTAATGACCAAATACCTACATGTGCAACATCCTAATGTGCTATCTACAATGACAGCATCTTTCATGGTATAGGAGTGTTACATATTTAGGCTGTATAATCTGTAACAAAAACAAAAATTATAAATTAAGTTTCCGCTTTAAATCCAGACTTTTTGCTGTTGCAATCAATTCAGAAAATAATGTGATGCATGTTTTATGTTAAATCCCAAAAAGTATAAAAACAATTACTATACATTCTTATTAAAATATTCAGCATTAAAGTATAAATTTGAATGAAAGAAATTTTAGCCCAATTTGTTATAAAGCTTCAATCTGTTGTTTCAGAAAAAAAACAATTTTTATTACCTAACAAATATAAATATTGTTTTAAGAAAAAATTGTAATGACCAAATACCTACATGTGACTATTCCTAATGTGCATCTACAATGGAAGCATCTTTCATGGCATAGGAGTCTTACATATTTAGGCTATCTGCAACGAAAACAAAAAAAAATATACATTAATGTCAGCTTTTAATCCAGACTATTTGCTGTTGCAATCAATTCAGAACTTAATGTGATGCATGTTTTATGTCAAATCCTTCATTGGAGACAAGAATTTTTACAATCACCATACAAAACCAAGAGTTCCAAATGGTAAAGTTGAAATCATCACTTCGTGTTCCTTATGTCGTAACTACAATCCCATTCCCTTTTCACGAATGTGACCTACTGAATTAGACTATTTACCAGCTTTGTTATAACATGAGCAACACGACGGGTGCCACATGTGAAGCAGAATCTGCTTACCCTTCCGGAGCACCTGAGATCACACCCCGTTTTTGGTGGGGTTCGTGTTGCTGTTGTACCCCTATTTGTGACATGTTTACCTATTGTGTCGGTTTGTTTTGTTCACACATCACTGTCAATATAATGGAATTTGATGAGACTGTCATACAAGCGAGAAGTTTAGCTAACTTTAAAACCAGGTTTAATCCACCATTTTCTACATAAGAAAATGCCTGTACAAAGTCAGGAATATAACAGTTGTTATCCATTCATTTGATGTGTTTGAGCTTTTGATTTTGCCATTTGATTAGGGCTTTCCGTTTTGAATTCTTATTAAAATATATCTCATTACAGTGAATATTTCAATAAATGAAATGTAGGACCAATTTGTAATGAAATTTCAAGCTGTTGTTCCAGGAAAAACTGATTTTTATTACCTAACAAATATAAACATAGTTTTTAAGAACAATTGTTATGAATAAATACTTACATGTGACTAATCCTAATATGCTATCTGCAATGGAAGCATCTTTCATGGTATAGGAGTCCTACATATTTAGGCTATCTGTAACAAAAACAAATATTTGAAATTAGTTACAGCTTCAAAATTAAAGCTATTTGCTGTTGCAATCAATTCAGAAATTAATGTGATGCATGTTTTATGTCAAATCCTAAATTGGAGACATATATCTACAATACCTATACATTCTTATTAAAATATACTTCATTAGGATATAAATAAAAATAAAAGAAATTTTAAACCAATTTGTTATAAAGCTTCAATCTGTTGTTTCAGTGAAAACTGATTTTTAATGCCTAACAAATATAAACCTAGTTTAAAGAAAAAAATTGTAATGAATAAATACATACATGTAACTAATCCTAATGTGCTATATACAATGAAACCATCTCATTGTCGAAGAGTAACATATTTAGGCTGTATCTGTATGAAAAACAAAAATTGTAAATTAGTATCAGCTTTAAATAGGGAATATTTGCTATTGCAATCAATTCAGAAATTAATGTGATGCATGTTTTGTCAAATCCTAAATTTGAGACTTAGTATATTTACAATTACTTAACTTATTACAGTAAATATTTGAATAAAAGAAATATTAGACAAATTTGTAATAAAATTTTAAATGGTTGTTCAAGGGGAAAACTGATTTTTGTTACCTTCCACATATAAAAAGATATAAAAGTACAATTATAATGACCAAATACTTACATGATATGTATCTTCGTGTGCTATATACCATGAAAGCATCTTCATTGTCAAGGAGTGTAACATATCTAGTCTGTATCTAACAAAAACAAAAATTCGAAATCAGTATCAGCTTTAAATAGAGAATATTGATTGTTGCAATTAATTCAAAATTAATATGATTCGTTTTTTATGACAAATCCTAATTTGAAGACAAGTATATAAACAATTTCATACATTATCATTAAACTTATCTTCATAAAGAGTATAAATTTGAATAAAAGAAATTTAAAACCAATTTGTAATCAAATCTAATTTAAGCTGTTGTTCCAGGGAAAACTGATTTTTGTTACCTGCAAACCATATAAACATAGTTTAAGGAACAATTAAAAATACCAAATACTTACATGCTATGTCTCCAGATGAGTGATCAATCTACCATGAAACCATCTTCATTGTCTAGGAGTGTAACATATTTAGGCTGTATCTAAAAATATCAAAATCGAGTCTAAAATGTCATTTCCAGTCTTAGATTATAGTGAGTACCGATTCAAAAAAATATATGGTTTCTATACACTTTTGTCCGAAATAAGGGAGATAATTTGATACTTCCGGTTTAGAAAAATATTACTTCTTGTATAATATGATAGGTTACTTGACACGGATTCCAAAAATATATGGTTCTATATACTTTTACATTAAATAAGCACAAAAAATAGCTACTTCCGGTTCACACAAGGTCACTTCTGGTTGGCTTTTTCAAGGTCATATGGCTTGCAACCTAATGCAAGAAGTTCTTTGGCTCTATCATTTATAAACATAAAGTTAATGCTAAGGTCAAAATCTAAAACGTCAAATTTACCTATGCCCTTGACCTATATTTCAAGTTCATAAAGTAAGGACCTCAAATAAAAAACCCTAGGTCTCTACTAAATACGGTTAATGAGTAATATCATCATACAACTAGCTTTAAATATGAGAGGGGAAGAAACTCCCATTTCATGTCAACGTACGCGTTCAACCAAAAATCATGTGTTACGACAGTTTGCATATAACAATCTAGTAAAAATATTTTGTCAATATCTTATACGGCCTCTGATAAGAAATAAGTCAAAATAAAAATTTAGAAGAGGACCTTGCAAGACCTTTGACCTTGACCTAAATTTTCTTTAAGTTGACCAATGACCTCAAACCAAAACACCCTAGGTCTCTATCACTTATGGTTTACAAGTTACAAATACATATCACTTATTTCAAATACATAAGGGGGAATAACTCTCATATGAAGTCTTCGCAACGCTTCAGCCAAAATGAAACGTAACATCCAGGATATAATGAATAATTTGAAATAATAAATTAGTCGGTTTCTTCTAAGGTTGCGAAGAATAAGAAATATCAAGAAAAAAGGTGTTCGGGGAGATAAGTATTCGGTTAAGCGGTGTCAGTTTCAAGAGTGTATAAACTCTTTGATATCATATACCAAATATCTAAGCGACATCTTGCAAAACAACCAAACAGTGAAGGAAAAAAATTAGGCGGAAGAAAAAACAAATTATAATAATCACAACAAAAGCATTAAGTCTTTTCACGGAAAAGTGGAAAGACTTTACCAGCTTCAAATAGAGACTATTGGCTGTTGCAATCAATCAATTATCAATAAATGTCACTCATATTTGATGTCAAATCCTAAATTGGACTCGAAGTATATTTACAATTACTACGCATTCATGTTAAAATTTACTTCAATAGACTATAAATTTGAACAAAAAAAAAATATGTACACTAATTTGAAATAAAATTTTATTTTAGCTGTTGTTCCAGGGAAAACTGATATTTATTACCCAACACATATAAACAGTCTAAAGTACAATTGTAATGACTAAATACTTACATGTTAAGCATCCTAATGTGCCATCTACCATGAAACCATCTACATTGTGTGGGAGTGGAACATATCTGGGCTGTATGTGTTACAAAAGAAAAATTTAAATTAGCATCAGCTTTAGATAAAGAACATTTAATGGCTGTTGAAAAAAATTAAAAAATTAATGTGATTCACGTTTTATGTTAAATCTTAGATTACGGACAATTAATTTACAATTACTCTTTCATTCTTATTAAAATATACCACATTTGAAATTCGAATAAAAGATATTTTAGACCAATTTGTAATAAAATTTTAAGCTATTGTTTCAGTGAAAACAGATTTTTATTGACTTCCAAATATTAACATAGTTTTAAGTACAATTGTAATTACCAAATACTTACATGTTGACTCTTCCTATGTGCCATGAATCCATCTTCTTCTGTCTAGGAGTGCAACATATTTAGGCTGTATCTTTAACAAAAACTATCACTTAATATCAGCTTGAGAGTCTATTTGCTGTTGCAATTTTTTCAGAATTTAATCTTTTGCATGTTGGACAAGAATATTTATAATTACTATACTTTCCATTAAGAATATATTTCATTAGAATGTAAATTTGAAGCAAATATTTTTAGACCAATTTGTAATAAAGTTTCAAATTGGTTGATAATGAAATGGAGCCAGACAAAAAACTAAATACATTTTACCATAAACACAAGTTTTCATCATACTATGTAATCAGCTCTGTTGGGGGATCTGTTTTCACCAGATTAGCGCCCATTAAATTCATCAATGTTATATCAAAATCTAAAGTTTGCTCTCTGCAGAGGTCTGCTTTTACGAGACCCATTTTAACATAAAGCATCTTTTTGTCAAACTGTTCAGGAAAAAAATGGATTTTTATTACCTAACAAACATAAACATAGTTTTAAGAAAAATTGTAATGACCAAATACCTACATGTGACTATTCCTAATGTGCATCTGCAATGGAAGCATCTTTCATGGCATAGGAGTCTTACATATTTAGGCTATCTGCAACGAAAACAAAAAAAAATATACATTAATTTCAGCTTTTAATCCAGACTATTTGCTGTTGCAATCAATTCAGAACTTAATGTGATGCATGTTTTATGTCAAATCCTTCATTGGAGACAAGAATTTTTACAATCACCATACAAAACCAAGAGTTCCAAATGGTAAAGTTGAAATCATCACTTCGTGTTCCTTATGTCGTAACTACAATCCCATTCCCTTTTCACGAATGTGACCTACTGAATTAGACTATTTACCAGCTTTGTTATAACATGAGCAACACGACGGGTGCCACATGTGGAGCAGAATCTGCTTACCCTTCCGGAGCACCTGAGATCACACCCCGTTTTTGGTGGGGTTCGTGTTGCTGTTGTACCCCTATTTGTGACATGTTTACCTATTGTGTCGGTTTGTTTTGTTCACACATCACTGTCAATATAATGGAATTTGATGAGACTGTCATACAAGCGAGAAGTTTAGCTAACTTTAAAACCAGGTTTAATCCACCATTTTCTACATAAGAGAATGCCTGTACAAAGTCAGGAATATAACAGTTGTTATCCATTCATTTGATGTGTTTGAGCTTTTGATTTTGCCATTTGATTAGGGCTTTCCGTTTTGAATTCTTATTAAAATATATCTCATTACAGTGAATATTTCAATAAATGAAATGTAGGACCAATTTGTAATAAAATTTCAAGCTGTTGTTCCAGGAAAAACTGATTTTTATTACCTAACAAATATAAACATAGTTTTTAAGAACAATTGTTATGAATAAATACTTACATGTGACTAATCCTAATATGCTATCTGCAATGGAAGCATCTTTCATGGTATAGGAGTCTTACATATTTAGGCTATCTGTAACAAAAACAAATATTTGAAATTAGTTACAGCTTCAAAATTAAAGCTATTTGCTGTTGCAATCAATTCAGAAATTAATGTGATGCATGTTTTATGTCAAATCCTAAATTGGAGACGTATATCTACAATACCTATACATTCTTATTAAAATATACTTCATTAGGATATAAATAAAAATAAAAGAAATTTTAAACCAATTTGTTATAAAGCTTCAATCTGTTGTTTCAGTGAAAACTGATTTTTAATGCCTAACAAATATAAACCTAGTTTAAAGAAAAAAATTGTAATGAATAAATACATACATGTAACTAATCCTAATGTGCTATATACAATGAAACCATCTCATTGTCGAAGAGTAACATATTTAGGCTGTATCTGTATGAAAAACAAAAATTGTAAATTAGTATCAGCTTTAAATAGGGAATATTTGCTATTGCAATCAATTCAGAAATTAATGTGATGCATGTTTTGTCAAATCCTAAATTTGAGACTTAGTATATTTACAATTACTTAACTTATTACAGTAAATATTTGAATAAAACAAATATTAGACAAATTTGTAATAAAATTTTAAATGGTTGTTCAAGGGGAAAACTGATTTTTGTTACCTTCCACATATAAAAAGATATAAAAGTACAATTATAATGACCAAATACTTACATGATATGTATCTTCGTGTGCTATATACCATGAAAGCATCTTCATTGTCAAGGAATGTAACATATCTAGTCTGTATCTAACAAAAACAAAAATTCTAAATCAGTATCAGCTTTAAATAGAGAATATTGATTGTTGCAATTAATTCAAAATTAATATGATTCGTTTTTTATGACAAATCCTAATTTGAAGACAAGTATATAAACAATTTCTATACATTATCATTAAACTTATCTTCATAAGAGTATAAATTTGAATAAAAGAAATTTAAAACCAATTTGTAATCAAATCTAATTTAAGCTGTTGTTCCAGGGAAAACTGATTTTTGTTACCTGCAAACCATATAAACATAGTTTAAGGAACAATTAAAAATACCAAATACTTACATGCTATGTCTCCAGATGAGTGATCAATCTACCATGAAACCATCTTCATTGTCTAGGAGTGTAAAATATTTAGGCTGTATCTAAAAATATCAAAATCGAGTCTAAAATGTCATTTCCAGTCTTAGATTATAGTGAGTACCGATTCAAAAAAATATATGGTTTCTATCAGGGCTTCCAAAATTTCCTGACGACAGCCGGACATTTTTCAAAGAAATATTTTTGACGGTCAATGATCAGCTGGATACTTAAATGTAACTGAGAGGATGCATAAATTGATATATGTGTAAAAATAATTAGTAGTGTTATATGCAATAAAATTATTTATAACTGTTTTGTTTTCTTCATTCTAAAAAAAAATAAAATATTATCCTCGGTATTGTGTCATTTTTCTGTGTATCGTAATACAGTAACCATCATTGCATCAATCAGCTTCAGTACCTGACTGTTCTCATGTTTTTGTTTCTGTTTATATAATCTATCTTCTCTCTGTGAGTACTAGTAACACTTTGTAAATTAAGGCCATCTTATTTGAAACTGTTGATGTTGGCTTTAATTGCAGTACAACTTGATCATCAATACACGTGATACTTTTCTTTTTGTGTATTGATTACCTGACAACGTGACTTTTACAACTGATGTGGTATTTATAGATAACATTGAGGAGGCCCAATGAAGGATATTGTTTTAAACGGTGTAAAATCTACTGAACAGTGATAACATTTATCTTTGTACGATTTAGAATTTTGATCGGAATCGTCACGTTTACGTTTGCCCATGATCGCAGATTTGTAAAGTTCAATTTGAGACAAAGTCTTTATAACAGTCGGAGATTGTCATGATTGGATATTATTCTTTATGATTTTAATTATAAAAACAGTTTTTAATATGAAAACAAGAATAGAGAACGCCCCCCTTATTTATTGGACAACTCAGCTTGGTATACCCAAGCGAAGCTATTCTCTGTGTTTTTCCTATATATTTTAGTAAATTTTCCCCTTGAGAGTACCCCAGTATTTAACACGATGTACAGTGTTAAATAAAATAATATATATCATACTTATTCATTTATAAATATCCTTATTTGAAGAATAACTTTTAAATATCAGGATACTTTTTTAAACTCAATGCTCATTTAAAATAATATCTATAAAGCGTAATTAAATAGGATGTTGTTCCATACATGCTTACATGTTTGACCTCGTTTACCTGATTACCTTTATGTACATTGTTATGCATCATTAATTCTATTGATAAAGACAAGCTAAGGACACCTCATCAAAGGTAACAAACCTGTAATCAGTGAATGATTTATGGCTTCAATATAACTTATTGAAGGGATAATTGTTTGACAGCTTGTTATTTAAATAAAAGAAAACGTGTTTTTTCTACTTTTTATTGATGTACACAAGCTGAAGACCAAGCCATACATTTATGTACCCAGAGGATTAGACTAACTGAGACACTTCAAAGTATCTGAAATATGCTGCTTCTGTTTTATTTAACCCAATTATGACCGAAATATCTTTGTGAAATAGATTGCCACAATTATAAACTAAAATGCCCAAACGGACATGCCCAAAGCCCCAAACGGACATTTTTATCGATCGATAGTTGGTAAAAATTGGAATGACCGTTTCATGAAAATGCCTTGAATAACAAAATGTGGCACACCAATTCTATTTGACCGTTTGAGGCTGAGAGCAGCCGGTCTTTTTATGAAAGTTTCGGTCAAGTCCGGAATATATGACCGTATTGGAAGCCCTGGTTTCTATACACTTTTGTCCGAAATAAGGGAGATAATTTGATACTTCCGGTTTAGAAAAATATTACTTCTTGTATAATATGATAGGTTACTTGACACGGATTCCAAAAATATATGGTTCACACAAGGTCACTTCTGGTTGGCTTTTTCAAGGTCATATGGCTTGCAACCTAATGCAAGAAGTTCTTTGGCTCTATCATTTATAAACATAAAGTTAATGCTAAGGTCAAAATCTAAAACGTCAAATTTACCTATGCCCTTGACCTATATTTCAAGTTCATAAAGTAAGGACCTCAAATAAAAAACCCTAGGTCTCTACTAAATATGGTTAATGAGTAATATCATCATACAACTAGCTTTAAATATGAGAGGGGAAGAAACTCCCATTTCATGTCAACGTACGCGTTCAACCAAAAATCATGTGTTACGACAGTTTGCATATAACAATTTAGTAAAAATATTTTGTCAATATCTTATACGGCCTCTGATAAGAAATAAGTCAAAATAAAAATTTAGAAGAGGACCTTGACCTTTGACCTTGACCTAAATTTTCTTTAAGTTGACCAATGACCTCAAACCAAAACACCCTAGGTCTCTATCACTTATGGTTTACAAGTTACAAATACATATCACTTATTTCAAATACATAAGGGGGAATAACTCTCATATGGAGTCTTCGCAACGCTTCAGCCAAAATGAAACGTAACATCCAGGATATAATGAATAATTTTGAAATAATAAATTAGTCGGTTTCTTCTAAGGTTGCGAAGAATAAGAAATATCAAGAAAAACAGTGTTCGGGGAGATAAGTATTCGGTTAAGCGGTGTCAGTTTCAAGAGTGTATAAACTCTTTGATATCATATACCAAATATCTAAGCGACATCTTGCAAAACAACCAAACAGTGAAGGAAAAAAATTAGGCGGAAGAAAAAACAAATTATAATAATCACAACAAAAGCATTAAGTCTTTTCACGGAAAAGTGGAAAGACTTTACCAGCTTCAAATAGAGACTATTGGCTGTTGCAATCAATCAATTATCAATAAATGTCACTCATATTTGATGTCAAATCCTAAATTGGACTCGAAGTATATTTACAATTACTACGCATTCATGTTAAAATTTACTTCAATAGACTATAAATTTGAACAAAAAAAAAATATGTACACTAATTTGAAATAAAATTTTATTTTAGCTGTTGTTCCAGGGAAAACTGATATTTATTACCCAACACATATAAACAGTCTAAAGTACAATTGTAATGACTAAATACTTACATGTTAAACATCCTAATGTGCCATCTACCATGAAACCATCTACATTGTGTGGGAGTGGAACATATCTGGGCTGTATGTGTTACAAAAGAAAAAATTTAAATTAGCATCAGCTTTAGATAAAGAACATTTAATGGCTGTTGAAAAAAATTAAAAAATTAATGTGATTCACGTTTTATGTTAAATCTTAAATTACGGACAATTAATTTACAATTACTCTTTCATTCTTATTAAAACATACCACATTTGAAATTCGAATAAAAGATATTTTAGACCAATTTGTAATAAAATTTTAAGCTATTGTTTCAGTGAAAACAGATTTTTATTGACTTCCAAATATTAACATAGTTTTAAGTACAATTGTAATTACCAAATACTTACATGTTGACTCTTCCTATGTGCCATGAATCCATCTTCTTCTGTCTAGGAGTGCAACATATTTAGGCTGTATCTTTAACAAAAACTATCACTTAATATCAGCTTGAGAGTCTATTTGCTGTTGCAATTTTTTCAGAATTTAATCTTTTGCATGTTGGACAAGAATATTTATAATTACTATACTTTCCATTAAGAATATATTTCATTAGAATGTAAATTTGAAGAAAATATTTTTAGACCAATTTGTAATAAAGTTTCAAATTGGTTGATAATGAAATGGAGCCAGACAAAAAACTAAATACATTTCACCATAAACACAAGTTTTCATCATACTATGTAATCAGCTCTGTTGGGGGATCTGTTTTCACGAGATTAGCGCCCATTAAATTCATCAATGTTATATCAAAATCTAAAGTTTGCTCTCTGCAGAGGTCTGCTTTTACGAGACCCATTTTAACATAAAGCATCTTTTTGTCAAACTGTTCAGGAAAAAAATGGATTTTTATTACCTAACAAACATAAACATAGTTTTAAGAAAAATTGTAATGACCAAATACCTACATGTGCAACATCCTAATGTGCTATCTACAATGACAGCATCTTTCATGGTATAGGAGTGTTACATATTTAGGCTGTATAATCTGTAACAAAAACAAAAATTATAAATTAAGTTTCCGCTTTAAATCCAGACTTTTTGCTGTTGCAATCAATTCAGAAAATAATGTGATGCATGTTTTATGTTAAATCCCAAAAAGTATAAAAACAATTACTATACATTCTTATTAAAATATTCAGCATTAAAGTATAAATTTGAATGAAAGAAATTTTAGCCCAATTTGTTATAAAGCTTCAATCTGTTGTTTCAGAAAAAAACCAATTTTTATTACCTAACAAATATAAATATTGTTTTAAGAAAAA